CCTCAGCTACTTCGTCGTCTCCATCCTCTACCTCAAATATGAGCCCGGTGAGCCCGGGCCGGGGGGGGCTGGCATCCTGGGGAGGGGTGCGGGGGTGAACTCGGGGATGGAGGGAGGGGGAAGCCCTGGATGGTGGAAAAGGGGGGGCGGCGGACAGGCCCAGGGACTGGATGGGGGGGTTGGCAGGTGCTGGGATCGTGGGGTTGTCCCACGCGGACGGGTGCCTAGGGGAGAAGCCCCCGGAATGAGTGGAGCTGGGGGAGAGGAAGCAAATGCGGGAGGGAAGGAGAGGAGCGTGCTTGTTTAGAGGAGGGGAAGCAGGTGCTGGGGGGGTGGGCGCGCATGGAAAGAAGGTTGGGGGACCTGTTGGGACAGGGCCGCATGAACTAGGGCAGGGAGCGTAGGTTGCGGTGAGGGTGTAGGTGGGGATCGGCGATGCCCGCTGGGGCAGATGTTCTGGCCGCCCGCAGCCGTGACCTCCCTCCTTGACCTTGGCTCGCCTAGTTGGAGCGGCAGCTGAGTGTCTATATAAGGGCCGGCCGTGCTGGGGGCAGCGATCAGGTTCAGCGATAGTGACACCAGTGTCCCCTCCCCGCTGCAGCTATTCCGCACCCTCGCCTCCCCTCCCCTCCCTTTCACTCCGCCGGCGGTGCTGGATCTCCGAGCCCGGCGGGAATTCTTCCAGCCCTGGCTTTGGGTTCTTTCCACTTACGGAGAACCCGCCCCAGAGCAGGGTGATTTGGGGTCAGCCTCCAGAGCCCCCTGGTGAGTCGCAGAAGGGTAGACACTGCTTCTTAGATTTTTTTCAAAAACGTTTTTTACATGAGGATGAATAGCCTCCTAAAGGTGTGTTCTATTTTTATACAAGGTTAACCATGAACAAATATTTCTTGTTCATCTCCCAGTAGGTATTTTAATTATTCTAGCGCACCAGCAAACTTAGTAGACAGTAGAATTTAGCTTTAGAAAAAAGACCAATCAGAATCTCTGTGACCCTTTCTCCCATTTAGATGTAAATTACCACTATATCTCAGAATGGAAATGGCTTTATTTTTCAAATGATAAAAATAGGTGCTCATGTTTACTAAAAACTCAAGCTTGAGAGCGCAAAGGAAAAAGAGGTAATTACAGTGAATATAATGGTGGCCACCCTTCCAGGTCTCTCTTCTTCATACCCATGTAGTTATAGACATAAATGCACGATGTTATGCAAATAGGATTACACTCTACTTGCCAGGCGTTTTTGTTCTATTCTTGTCTACCCACAGGCCAGCTGTTTCTTTAAAAGCTTTCTGGAGAGCAGTTACTTTGCAAAGGAAAATAAACTTTTGTATTATTCTAGCGTGAATATGAGGCTGTATTTCCTGTCTGGAAAAGAATTCCTGGTGGCTCAGGCCAGTCCCTTGGGCTATTGCAGAACCCAGCACACCTTGGAAAATCTAAAATGGGAGAGCAAGAGCCCTGTGGGGATGTAGGACACAGTTATCCAGAGGAAAGAGGTTTCCGGGCTGGATGGGAGCCTGCAGGAGTCCCAGAGTAAACCACCTGAGCTGGAAGTGCTGAAGCCTGAAGGTTCCTGAAGGTTGAGAAATGATTCTCAACCCTGACTGCACACTAGATGCTCCAGGGGCGGGGGGGAGGGGCAGCCGCCGGTATAGGGATCTGAACCCTTGACCTTGGTGTTACAACATTGCACTGAGCTAACCGGCCAGCCTTCCCAGGCCATATCTGGGTGCACATTTTTCAAAGTCCTCCCCCAGTGATTGCTGTACTGGCAACGTTGAGGATACCTTGCCCAGTTCAACCTCCTCTTTCATAACAAGGAAATAGGAAATAGTGGCTAAACTAGCTTAAATACACTATGAGCCTGTGGTCTCATGGCTGATAAATGGCAGCCTTGGGACTGGAACCTAGGTCTGTTTGATTCCAAGAATCAGTACAATCGCTGTGAGGGGGATTGGTTCCAGCACCCCCATGAATACCAAAATCCTCAGATGCTCAAGTCCCTTATATAAAATGCCATAGCATTTGCATATAACCTACGTACTTTAAATCATCTCTAGGTTATTTACAATACCTACACATCAGTTCATTCCCATGGTTTCAACATAGTACTTTGCATGGACAAATTCAAGTTTTGCTTTTTGGAACTTGGTGGGATTTTTTTTCTCCCACAATATTTTCGATACAAAGGGGCCAACTGTACTTCTCCCTTAGAAAAGTAAGATGTTGGATTGAGCTGTTAGCTCGCAGTTTGGTGTGTACACCAAGCCTCTGTAAATATTGCTTCTCAGAATCTCTGTGCTGGACCTGCCACACAATTTGCAGGCCCAGTGTAAAATGTCAATGTGGGGGCCATTGTTCAGAAATTAAGAATTACAGCAGAACATTAAGTGCATGGCCTTTCTGAGCTTAGGGTCCCATGAAGCCAGCCCTGGCTGATGAGTGCCAAGCAGGTTTTAAGGAAAAATCTCTGAATGGGGAGTCAGTTCTGCCTCTAGCACTCATCAGACACCAAGCTGGTTACTTTACCTCCATAAGCTTCAGTTTGCCCATCTGTGAAATAGAATCATTGGTACAATAATCCTGGACTTAACTTTCCTGGCTATTGTGAAGATCTGCCAAGAACTTTGTCCATGGTAGGGTCTAAGCCATTTGTGGCAGGTGGTTACATTTATTTGGAAGGCTATGGAGGAATGTGTTACCTGGGATACTGGCGTTTCCTGGGTCAGGCTTTCTTGGGACTCCTGAGTGAGGATTTTCAGAATGTGGTCCTCAGCTGAGTAGCAGGTACGTTACCTGGGAGCTGGTGAAAATCGAAAAATCCCAGGCCCCACCCAGACCTGAATCTGAGCCTGCATTTGAACAAGATCCCCAGGTCATTTGTAAGCATGCTGAAGTTTGAGATGTGATGAATTAAAAGTGGCAGGAGCTGGGCCGGCCTGTGGCTCACTCGGGAGAGTGAGGTGCTGATAACTCCTTTTTGACGGGTTCGGATCCCGTATAGGGATGGCCGGTTTGCTCACTGGGTGAGCATGTTGCTGACAACACGTTGCGATCCGTTGCCGGACACGGAAAAAGACAAAAAAAAAAAAAAAAAAAAAAAAAAAGTGGCAGGAGCTGCTTATTAAACCTGGAGCTCCTTAAGGGCAGGGAGGTCGAAGTCTGGTTCATGTCTGGGACCCTGAGCTCTGTGCAGGGAAAGCGAAGGAAACAGTGGGTGCTGGGTGCATAACTGAAGGAATAAGTGAATGAATGAATGAATGAATGACAGTCCTGGATACCTTAAGCCCTGACCCATCCGAAGAATCTTACAGACCAGTGGTTCTCAAACTTTGCTCCACATCAGACTCATTCAGGGAGCTTTCAAAAATCCTTTTGTCTAGGGCGCATCCTTCTGTCATTTTATCAGCATCATGTTCTAACCAAGTGAGCTAACTAGCCAGGCCACCCCTCTGTCATTTAAATCAGAATTGCTGGGGGTGGTATGAGCTTCAATATTTTTAAAAGTTCCCCAGATGACTCAGTTGGTTAGAGTGTGGTGCTAGTAACACCAAGGTCTAGGGGTCAATTCCTTCACCGGCCAGCCACACACACAAAAAAAGTTCCCCAGATGAGAACTGGTCCTCTGTACCAGGGTTTCCCAACCAAGGCATTAGTGACAGGGTGTCAGTTGTCCTGTGCATTTTAGGATGTTGCCCAGCATCCCTAGCCTCCACCCACTCAATGCCAGTAGCACACTCCACCTGTAATGACAACCAAAAATGTCCCCAGACACTGTCAATGTCCCTAAGGGGCACAATCTCCTCCAGTTGAGAACCATTGATTTAAACCGTAAATCTTTTTTTTTAAAGGTGACCAGTAAGGGGATCTTAACCCTTGACTTGGTGTTGTCAGCACCACGTTCTCCCAAGTGAGCTAACCGGCCATCCGTATATAGGGAGCCAAGCCTGTGGCCTTGGTGTTATCAGCACCACACTCTCCCAAGTGAGCCACAGGCCAGCCCTCTAAACCGTAAGTCTTGAACTCCAGTGCTTCCAGAGGCCAGGCAGGTGATAAACTGCATGGAAGCCGGGCAGGTGAGGACCATCCATGCCCAAGGTGAGAACCAGCCAGGTGCATCTCCATTTCGTTGGGGGCAGAACAGCCAGAGCTGATTTTTCAGAAGAAGCTGAAAACAGGGATTTGCAGCCCCATGTTTATATGTTAAGTGTTCAGACATTTTTTCTTTTCCTTTTTTTAATGAATAGACTATTTTCTAGAGCAGTTTTAGGTCTATTAGCAGAATCAAGCTGAAAAGACAGAGTTCCCGTAGACTCCTCCTCCTCATGTCCCCCCAACCCCCCACCATCAACATCTGGCACCAGAGTGATACATTGTTACCATCAATGAATCAACATTATTATCATATTATCATTATTGTCAACATCATCAGCCAAAGTCTATGGTTTACGTTAGGGTTGCTTTGTGTTTTATATTCCGTGGATTTCGACAAATGTATAAGGACATGTGTTCACCATTACAGTATCATACAGAATACCTGTAATTTCACTGCCCTAAAATTTCCCTGTGCTCCACCTGCCATCTCTCCTTCCCCACAGCCCTGGCAACCACTTATCTTTTTACCGTCTCCATAGTTTTGCGTTTTCCAGAATGTCATGTATTTGAAATCATGCAGTCTGTAGCCTTTTCATACTGACTTCTTTCACTTAGCAATATATGAGGTTCCTCCCTGTCTTTTCATGTCTTTATAGTTCATTTCTTTTTAATCGCTGACTAATATTCTGTCGTATGAACGTACCATAGCTTATTTATCCATTCACCTGTTGAAGGACACCTTGGTGGCAGTTTGAACATTTTAAAAATGCTGTGGGGGCCAGAGAAAACAGTTCTTTGATCCCTGGTTTGAGACCTCTGAACTGTAAGTTTTTTGAAGACAGGGAGCTGTTTATCCTCCAACATTGGGAGGCAGGGGCTGCCATCTCCTTTTTACAGGGGAGGAAACTGAGGCAAATAGCTGAACTCGAAGGCTCAGGGGAGCAGGTCT